TATCGTAATATTCTTCGCATATCCGTAAGAGTGCCTGTTTTTCTTCTGAATTTAAATGCTGTGTTCGTAGTAGTTGTCAAATTTGCGAGTATCGTGAGGAAGTAGGTTTAGAATTTTTTCTCGTTTGTATAGTGTGTACTTCGGATTCTCGGTCTATTCTACATCTTCGATAACAACATGTGGCGTTTGTATCTCGACTTCTGTATCGGTCGTATTCATTACACTAACGGGGCATGCGTGATCTTTAGGTGCTACTAGACAATTTCCGATATAGATTCCTGGGGCTGTTTCTTCTGCTCGTACTACTCCTATCCTATTTTGATTCGTTGTCGCTTTTACGATGGTTTTGCTGCGCGGTTTTAGAATGGTTTTATTAAATGAATGGAATTTGAGCACGGCGTCTCCTATTTTTAGTTGATTTTGTTTGTAGTCGCAGGATACTGAGTGTTGTCGGAGGAAATCAATCCCTAGAATCCCTTCGTATTCGATCGGAATGTCATCTTTTACTACGTAAAATGCATGTTCTATTTTATGTCCATCTACTTTAATTGTAGCGTACATTTTTCCGATGGTGTGTACCTTATGCCCGGTTATGCCTGTGAGCGCGATTTTATCCTCATATATGAGGGTATCGCCCTTTAATTGTTTTAATTTTATTAACGAGATGGTTGATCCTGAATCGCACAACATCCGTAATTTTTCATCCTTTGCTTGTCGCATGGGTAGTGTTATTAACAATAAATCCGTCTTCTTCTGTGTGCTCGGCGTATCTTTAATATGCGTAACGTGATATTCGGACGCAGGTCGCGGTTGTTTCTTTTTAGATTCGCTTTTATCATCTTCGCTACTGTTACCGTCGGACTCGGAATCTCGCTTTTGTTGTCGCGGATTCTTTCGGTCGTGTGTATTTTCTTCGCGTTTTTTCTGGTTACCATCTTTTATTTTATTTGTATCAGTTTTCGGATTACCGTTCAAACTCCAGCATTCGTCGCGGGTGTGTCCGGATTTTTTACAATGTTTGCAATATTTATTTATTGCATTTATCCGCGAGGATTTTTCCGGTTTAGGAAGCGCGTATCGATTACTTCGACAATCGCGTCCGTAATGTCCGTTTTTTCCACATTTAAAGCATTGCGGAGTCGAATTTCGAATCTGTCGCGAATTGCTTGATTCGTATTTATTTTTATTCGGGAAGTTGCTTATTCTTGCCGTTGGTCCGATAAGTTTTTCTTCAGCGCTCGCGCCCGTGATCGCTTCTTGGAGCGTTGTATATCGTCGCGCGCGTACGAGTACCTTTAATTCGTCGCGTAATCCAATTTGAAAATTTATTAACGCCTGTTTTTTAATCGTGTGTTGAATCGTGCGTTTTGATAGTGAGAAGTCCTCTTCTCCTTCAATCATAGCATCGTACAATTTCATTGCTAGTAACTCAACGCGTTGTCCGAAAGCATACGCGGTTTCATTTGATTTTTGTCTTAATGAATTGAACTCGATTTGTAAGTGCGTAGTACTTTGTTTAGATTGGTAACAAGTTTCAAGTTGATGTTTTAATTCGTCGAACGTTTGTATATCTCGCGTCTCAAAATCCTGCATCGCTTTCCCTTTTAATTTTATAAATAAGATTACTTGAATTAACGATTCTTCGTCCGCGGGATTTATATTCTGAACGGCGTATTTACACGCGTTTAAAAATTCTTGCAGTTTATGTCGCGAGGTTCCGTCGAACTCGGGGATCATTATTCTTGCTTCCTTTAACGGTAGATAATTCGGGGCGACGCTTCGTCAATTTCTGATATCGCGTCTCGTTCGCCCGTCTGTTGTTTCAAACGCATCGTTATCGTTTTCCCTGCGAGTATCTGTATGACGGGGTAATTATCGTGGTATAGAATTGCTTCGCGTGCCTGATATCGCGGCTGCCGTCGCGAGATCAGCTAGGACGCTCTTTTTATTAAAATGATTTCAATTGTCCGTCTCGCGGTTGCTCTTTATTAAATTTGTATGTGCTGTATAATTGTATGAATATAACTGTTTCGGGTGATTTTGTGATTAAGACTGCCTAGCGCTCGTTCGAGGTGGGTAGTTTTATCACCTTCAATATAATTATGGCCAGGTCTGATGTGCCTGATCGTGTTTACGCTTTTTCTGTTGTCTCTGCGTGATATTATTTTGTTTGTCAGAAGACATTCCCTTCGCGACGGTTGATCACGCGCTTTCTTCATGAAAGCTTTTGAACGTGTCGTCGGCTGATTCGGCCACGTAGCGAAATAGAGAGAAGATCGGCTCTCGGGGTCCAATAGCGGGGCAGAGTTCCAAAAGCGGCGAGAGCGAACGGATGTATCGATATTAGTAAATCCCGCGTTAAGATCGATGAAAGAGTGACTTTATTAAAATTAAACCCGTGATCCTACAATTTTATGAGAACTCAGCCGAGATAGTTGAACTGAGGCGGACGTTGATGGACATTGCGCAGTGACGCTGAGTGTGATAACGCTGAGTGCGATAACGCTGAGTGCAGTTACGCTGAGTGCGACAGAATTGGATGCGGGTTTGGTGCTTTCTGTGAGTTGGCGAAAGAAGAAAAAGTGAGATGAGTCCTACGAGGAACCCGTCCGAATTCACAGTGCAGGAACTCAAGGAGAAGCTCAAGACGTTCGGGCTAAATACGGCCGGATCAAAGAGTGACCTGATAAATCGTTTGAAGGAGGCGGATCCTGCTGGCAGTTGGCTTCGCGAACCAGATGACGTGCGAAGTGGTCCGTCGGACGACGAGGAGCAGGATTTGAATGCGTCCGGAATGACCGCGATAGACGTGCACAGGACGGAGGTGTCACGGCGAGAGATGGAGGTAATTAGGAGAGAGAAGGAGCTTTTGGAGTGGGAGCTTACGGTGGCGCGACGAGAGCTGGAATTTCTTCGAGAAAGAAAGAGAAAGAGACCCGGAATGATCGAGCGAAGGTTGGAGACCGAGGTGGAAGCGAGTCGGGCGGAGACACGGCGAGCGATGGATACGACGAGGACGACTGAGACGATGGCGCGGCCAAATATAACGGCGATCGCCGAATTATTGGGATGTTTTGACGGAACGAGCGACTCCTGGGAAGTATGGGAGAAGCAGGTGCGGCTTCTCGCGACCAAAGAGAATTAGATAGAGTGGAACGTCCCATAAGAGCGTAATGTATTTTTGCGTATACAGTTTTCAGTGCCCTCTCGTGAGTCTGATGCCCTAAGTGTATATCTCCCATTCCCGATATTACGCGATATAGAATTCGTATTGATGGAAGCACTCATTTCATGCAATCAATGTCACTTTTTGATCAAAGTGAAATGTGTTACATAATAAATTTTAATAGTTGCGATCGAATTTGAACAAGAAGAAGCTAAGTAATTGGGCATCAGACTCGGTAGATGGCATTGATCGCTGTATACGCTTACCCTCCACTCTATCTAATCCTCTTTGCTCGCGACAACATAAAAGCTACAAGACGAGATGACAAAGATATTGATAGGCTCGAGGCTAAAAGTTAAGGCGGCTGAGTGGTTCCGCTCTAAGCCGAACATATCGAGATGTCGACAGATGACCTTCTCCTGGCAATGAAAGCTATGTTTAATCATCGTCCAAACAAACTGGCACGTAAACGAGAATTTGAAAGACGAATTTGGAAGAGAGGCGAAGCTTTCGGCACATACGTGCACAATAAGATTATTTTAGCCAACCGGGTGCCGATCGAAGAGGAAGATATTATCGATTATATTGTCGATGATATTACAGATTTAAATTTGCAGGATCAGGCTCGGATTCAAGGGTTTACGACGACGGCATCCCTATTAAAAGCGTTCGAAAAAATAACGCTTCGGCCGAAGGGGCAACGGGATGGTTTCACCTCCTCGAAGGGACAACAGGATAGCACCACCACCACGAAGCCTCACGGGGGAGTGAAGCAACAGAGGATTGACGGAGGGGAGCGGAGCCGCTTGAAGTGCTGTTACAATTGTGGAGGACAAAATCACTTGAGTGCGGATTGTCCGACTAAGGAGAGGGGCATAAAATGGTTTCACTTTGGCGAGCGCGGACACATAGCGGCGAAATGCATCGAAAAAAAGGTGCGGTAAGGGATAGTTGCGCGGTAAGCGAGCGTTGTGACGGAAAATATTATAAGAATGTACGCATTAATAATCGTAGCGTGGTAGCGATGATAGACATCGGTAGCGATATGTGTTTGATGCGTGCGGATTGTTATGTTAAATTGAATGCTCCACCTTTGAAAGAAAACAAAATTTATTTTCGCGGCACAGGCTCGGTTAGTAATGAAACCATGGGCGAGTTCGACGCGGATATCTATATCGATGACATCGTTTATCCTATTAAAATACGAGTGATTTCTGATACGCTTATGCGTCATGATTTAATTATCGGTGCTGATTTTCTAAGGACGGTAGAAGTTAGAATAAACAGGGCTGAAATGTTAATTTAAAACCAAGAAAAGATTCCGAATTACCAGAAATATTCCAAATTGATTACATGCACAAAGCGGGCAAATTAGGTGCTTCACACCTTAACGATGACTGTAAAAATGCGTTAGAAAATATGATTCGGAGCTATAAGCCAAATAAAACACGCGATGTAGATATTAAAATGAAATTAATTTTTAAGGACGACGAGCCAGTGTATCAGAGAGCGCAAAGACACAAAGAAAAACAAATAGTGAAGCGACAGGTAGACGAATGGTTGTGCGGCCATTGTTATCGGAGTATGCGAGCCCCGTGGTTCTAGTTCGAAAAAAAACGGTGCGTATCGGTTGTGCGTAGACTATCGACAACTAAATTAGAGAATTGTAAAGGATCGTTATCCGTTGCCGTTGATTGAGGATCAGTTGGATCGGTTGCAGAGCGCGAAAGTTTTTACTACTCTGGATCTTGAGAACGGATTTTTTCACGTTGAAGTGGACGAAAATAGTCGGAAATTCACGGCGTTCGTGGTACCTGACGGGCAATACGAATTTTTAAGGATGCCGTTTGGCTTGTGTAACTCACCAGCGGTCTTTCACAGATTTGTTAACGCTATTTTTAGAACTTTTATTAATGATGGAACGATACTGACGTATATGGATGATTTAATTGAAAGATGCTTTGCAGAGGCTCAATCGGGTGTTCGATACGGCGAGTCAGTTCGGGCTGGTGATTAATTGGGTTAAATGTCAATTTTTAAAAAGCAAAGTAGAATTTTTGGGACATATAGTGGAATTGGGTAGCGTGCGACCGTCGGAGACTAAGACGGATGCAGTTACGAGATTTCCCGAACCGAAGAACGTTAGGCAGATTCAAAGCTTTTGGGGCTTATCCAGTTATTTTCGGAAGTTTATCCGTAATTATTCGTTGATTGCGCGGCCTCTAATGGGCCTATTGAAAAAAGATGTCATATTCTATTTTGAAGAGAAGGAGAGAAATACGTTTGATGAGTTGAAGGCGGCCCTGGTGAGCAAACCCGTTTTAAGATTGTACAAAATAAATGCGAGTACCGAGCTTCATACCGATGCGTCAAAGCATGGTTACAGCGCTATTTTATTACAGCGTGACAATGACAATTTGTTGCATCCCGTATATTATGCGAGCGGCCGTACGACTCCAGTGGAGGAAAAGTACAGTAGTTATAAACTTGAAGTGCTTCCGATTATAAAATCTCTGAAGAAATTCCGCGTTTATTTAATAGGTATATCTTTAAAAATAGTGACAGATTGCAAGGCATTTAGTCTAACAATGAGTAAAAAAGATTTATGCGTGCGAGTTGCGAGATGGGCTCTACAATTGGAAGAGTTCAATTACACGATCAAACATCGTCCCGGAAAAGCGATGATGCATGTAGACGCGCTAAGCAGGAATCCGTTACTTATGTGTATGTTGAGTGAGTGTGAGGATAGTTGTGACGTTGCCGTCTCGCGCGCGTCCGCCGAGTCCCTCTCCGATCGAAAAGCGCGGGCTAAAGGGCCGCGCCAGTCGAATAATTGCGAGAACCGTACCGTTACCTCCAGAGAGGCTTCATTGATCGAGATTTCGCGCTTAATATTAATTCCGTTTGTTGTTTCTTTTTGTATGATGATTTGAGTTGGGAGCCTCACCGGAAGAAAGAGCGGGAAGTCAGTAAAACATCACAGACCCCGCGACGGCCCCGCGAAAAGGGCCTCAGCGAATTATTGTTTGTAATACCGGGGGCGCGCGCACCCCCGTTACGACCGTGAGCGCGCCGCCCGCCGGCCACAGCGCGTGATAACGCGTGATTGGTCGCGATAATACGCACCCTGTGTGCGCAGCCCGGCTGGCCCACAGGTATCGATTCTGGATCGCGACGATCCAGGATCAGACTGGCGTTAGCTCGCGAGCGAAATAGCGGCGCTTGTTCCGAGGCGAAGCGGAAAAGACGAGAGCAAGCGAGAGCGAGGCGGAAGCGAACGGAGAGGAGCCCGGTGATCGACGGCGAAGGACGGCGAGCTCGAGAGAACGTCGATGTCGCCGACCCCGTTCAACCACCACGAGAGGAACGGTACCGGTTATCCTTCGCCATATTCGCCACTCGCGATCGCGCCCGGAATCGTTTCGTTCTGTCGTCGTCGCCGTGAATTCGTACTTTGGTGTACGGGCTAAGCCCGATTCTTTGGTGTAGATTTTCGCGTCACGGCCACGTTGTCAAGCGATTCGAGCCCCGGAGCCTCGAAAGTATCGGTTTCCGCGGATCGAGACATTACCTCGCGTTTTTAATA